TGGAAAATATCCCTTTTCGGCTCTACATCGCTGAACAATTCCAAACAAGATGAAAATGTAAATTTAGATGCAAGGCTGGCTCATTTACGAGCACTTTTGTCTCAGAGTTAGAAGTTTGTGGGTTGCAGCCCAATGTCACTACTTTGAGTTTAGAAAATATGGTGATGTTGTAGTGCAATGTTGGGAAGTGTTGCATTTTCAAATGTGGCTGTCCAGGTAAATGTTAAAGATCCCATGGTAATATTTGAAAAGAGAAGGGAGTTTCCCCCGATGTCTTGGCCAACAATTCCCCAGACTAAAACAAAAGGGTCATTTGCTTCATGTATGTTTATGGGACATTGCTGTACGCAAATTGGCTGGCGTATTTGCCTACAGAGTACACAATCACACTTTACAAAAACTTCTGTGAAATGCTCAGAGATGTTGACATGATAAGGCAAAGATTATTTTATTGTAAACACAATAGATTGACACATGCGTCAAAAATAACACACATACAAGGATCAAATTTACTAAAGCATTAGTGCAACAGAATAACGTAGCTCAACTTTCGGAAATCTGATATAATGTGGTGAAAACAATTTTATTCAATTATGCAGTGCAGAGATAGGAAATTGTGTTGATGCCCACAGTTCTCTAAATAAATTCCCAGTTCTTTACAATGTGGATATTCTGAATATCGTTTGACTTACTAAATGTTTTTTAATTTTTTTAAAAATAAAACATTCTCCCTCGCTAGCATTCAAATTCTCACATTGGTGACCAGACAAGTTGGTAACCTCATCCCAGATCTATGTAATTACCACTTGAGTCTGAAACACCTATGACCATGGTCATGTCCCTCTCTCCTTTCTCCCCTTCTGCAGCCCTGCTACTGCACAGAGCTCAGAGATGGTATCTGCGAAGAGCGCTATATAAATGTTGTTTGCCTTCCTGTGAATTGTCAGGTTTCAATTTGAGGTTTTTCCTCCCCCACCCTGGCATTGAGCGAATTCAGCAAATGGGAATCATGTGCAAAAATCTGCGACCTACTCTCTAGAGCACAGCAGATTATTTTTTCTTGAAAGATTCGCACAATAAAACTGGTTTAGTAACTGGCAAATGTCACCAGGCAAGAAGCTAACATCACCGGCTTATAACAACATCCAGTTCACTGGGACGTTATCAGAGGCAAGAGCAAATCTGAAGAACAACTTGTGACAGCTTAGTGACAGAAAGCGACCTATTTTGGCTCATAACTATTATTAGAGAGGACTGTGATTTTGATCTTTGAAAGGTCATCTGTGCAGGACCCTGAAGATTTGACAAATATTCAGCATTGCAGCCAATACTGCATTGAAGTCACAGCCAGGAAAATGCAACATAGGCTAAATCCCAGCTTCAAAGATAACTATTTAGTTTCCACATTCTTTCCTCATTATTAGCTACAACTTGGATTATGGATGTACCCTTCATTTACATTAAAGGAAAATTTGTGTTGAGAGCTTTTAATCTAGGTATCAGACTGCCAAATGATTTTACTGATAACTTATAAAACAAGTTTAAAATTTGGTCAATTTTAAAAATTAAGGTGACTAGATTCTTTGTCACGACTATTTTAGAATTCAGTAAAATAAATAATTTGCAGTTTTTGCATTAAATTAAATTTCTGATGAAACCACTGAAGGTGCTTCAATCGGCACAGACTTAGTCTAAGTGGAGCATGATAGTCATGAGTTTTCATAATTGCCACGCAGATGACTGCAGATACCAGTTATAAACTCAAGACTGATCCACAAGGGACTAGAACAACACAAGATTATTAGTGAAATTGTCAAGTAAATTTTGGTACAGCCTTCTCTACTTCAAAATTTCAAAGCTCAGACAGAGGTGGTTTTGTTTTCTTCATGTAAAAGACCAGAGAGCAGTCACTAAGTGAAAGAACACCAAAAAATGCCCAGTCTGTATTTCTTGGGATTTCTTGTATTTCTTGGGATGGCAGCAAGATCAATTGCAGCAGGCGATCAATCATAATTCTGTATTGTAAACACCACCAACCCCCCCACCACCCTTGAAAACCATAGTGAATTGTGGAACTATAAAAATCACACTTCAAAACTCATGGTATTGAAAAGGACTGCAGTATACAGGTACCCGATAATAAAGTATTAAATGGGAATAAACTGCACAGAGACAGATATCCCTTGGCCACACCATGTGAGCATGCTCGAGGATGTCGTGGCAATTTAGCAGTATCTGCAGTATACACAGATGCATCAGATTCTGGCATGGGCTACCATGTTGCTGTTCGGACATGAGAATGCGGTATAATTCTGGTGCGCTGGCCAACATTTCTTGAAATGAGAGAAGGTTGAATTGATCACTTTGTGGTTGTTTTGGGGAGTTTGCTACAATGAGTTATAACTCAGTATAATTAAAATGTTTAAAAAGAAATTGAAATGGTTTTGAAATTGGTTATAAAAGTGCACATAGTATGCTTTATATTTATATATTTATAATAATATATCCATGACTGTTTGTGGGACACCGCTGTGCAAAATTGTCTGCCACGTTTTTCCCCACAAAATACAGTCATTTCACTTTACAATATATTCTGTGAAGCGCTTTGAGATGTCTCAATGACGTGAAAAGGTGCAATATCAAACGCAAGGATTATTGCTATCGTGATTATTATTTTTCAGGCCAACAGCCATCTGTAGCCAATTTCCGAACTTGTGCAAGGCTGCTTTTGCGGTTTTTTGAGTGTCAGGACGGGTTGAGGGTTGATGTAACTGATGAATCAATTAATCCAAGCTTGGAATTTTATTAGGCTTTTGCAATCTGTTAATGAATTCTCTAAATGATAGTCACATTAATTCAGTGCATCCCATTAGAGTCCACAAAAGAGAAACATAAACAGACTCAGAATAAATGTTTCCAGGGGGATACTGTCAATCCACAGGGATGTGGTTGATTGCAGCAACTTAGAATAACAATTCGGAACCATTTCCAATAATGATCCCACTGAAGACTGGCAGAATATTACAACAGATAAACACCAACCTGTTCAAAACTAGTGATGTGGAAAAATAGTGACACTCATTATCCAATGTAGACCATCAAACAGCAGTTTCTGAATCAACCCTCTCAAGATGTATCAGTTATATCTCTGCGCTGCCTCGCTTCTCTCTATGCAATCTACACAGATTCCACATCATCCAGTCTTCACCGTCTGGATTCTGGATTGCTGATTGTTCCCCAATCCCTGTGCTGCAATATCAAATCCTCAGTCTTCCTTCCAGTTCAACTTTACGAAACTCTCTTCCAAAAATGCTTTGTGTTGCTACATCCACCCATGCTCTCAAAATGACCTAAAATTGACCTCTTCAACAGCGCTTCGAAATTTCAACCAAATCACGTTCGGTGTCCACCAGTCTCAATGTTGATGTGAAAGGCACAATACAAATGGAAATCTTTGTAAATAAGTTGTCGTGACCAGTACCTTTAAAGTACAAAGTATAAAAAAAAAGTATAAAATTGATAAACGATGTGCAACTGTTAAAATTCTGATAAAACATCATGCAGAGTATCCACATCTCTGTGGAGTCCTGTAGCTCAGCGGTTAGAGCACTCGCTTTGCAAGTGAGAGACCTGAGTTCAATTCCAGGCAGAGGGCGAAACCTTGGGCAAGTTTCCTTACTCCACACAGAGCCTAATAATAATCCCTCCAAAACCAAAAACAATAATAAATTGGTCATTTCCAATCCACGACTGTCTGTGGGACATTGCTGTGCGCAATTGGATGCCGCGTTCGCCCACAAATATACAGTCAATTCACTTTACAGTGTGTTCTGTGAAGCGCTTTGGGACGTCCTCCCGACGTGAAAAGCGCTATATCAAATGCAAGGATTATTATTATTTTTCCAAGGAGCAAGAGTCAATGTTTAACTACTTTTTTTAAAAAAATTGACCTTGATCTTTTGGAAGGATTCAGCACAGCACACAGGAAGCAACATCTTTTTATACTGAACCTTGTTACTACACAATGTCTGGTTTTATTCACAAATCACTGGGTTATAACACGTCATATGGTAGCTCTTACCCCAAACAAACATCTCAAAACAACAAAAGTTGTTGACATGAAACTTAATGTCACAAACAATTGCAGATCAAATCACAACAGCAACTTTAAACCTCTCATACAGGGTAGCGCCCAAAGCACTTGACAGTGGTGGAGCACGTGGGGGGATGAAGGTGAACGTAGGCACAAAGAGGAAGAGTGTATAAAGCATTGCAACAGCACCACCTCATGGTTCTGGCAAATCGTACACACAGCATACAGACCACCAGCAGGAATTACCGGTTATAAAGTGTCAAATTTGTAGATGCGCAAATTATTATTTGTACCTTGGCAACACTAATCCCGTTTCTGATCAAACCAATCATTCCGCACAAGGCTGCTACCATATGATTTCAAATCCAAGCATAACATAGCATAGGAGGAGCAGGAGTAGGCCATTCGGCCCTTCGAGCCTGCCCCGCCATTCAATCATGGCTGATCTTCTAATCTAACTCCAGCTAATAACCTGACCCTGCCTTATCCCCATATACCTTAATCCCTTTTGCGATAAGAAATCTATCTATCTCAGTTTTGAATATGTTCAAGGACTGAACGTCAACAGCCCTTTGGGGTAGTGAGTTCCATACATTCACTACCGTTTGAGTGAAGAAGTTCTTCCTCAACTCATTACCAGCTTTATCTCGGCAACCATAATACTAAAATACATTAAAAAATTCTTAACATTTACATTTTAACCCCCCACCCACACACACACGCACACACACACACTGGTGTGGTTAACCTTTTTTGAGTGAGAAAGTAAATGGACGATTTAAGCTTTATATTCAAGATCTCAACTGTGCTCTAACAGGTGTTATAGTCTTACGAAACCCCACATTTCTAAAACCACAGTGACAACCGATATACACACACAGAAAGTGCTGCAAGTGATGCACCTTACCTGGTCCTGGAGGATTTGTTGTCATCTCTGTGGAACATTCAAAATCTGGTGGAAAGAGAAAGAAAAATAAGAGTAAAATAAAGGTTAGATAATAACATCAAGATAAGTGGCATAATAGATGAATACACATGGAGGCAGCTCCTTTCACATAGGCCAGGGTGGTTCAACTGGCAAGTGACGGGCCCCATCGGGCTCGGGGGATGGGTTTATCCGGCCCGCAAACCATTTCCAACTTCATTGTCTGACGAGCAATCCAGGAGACACACAGGCCCCGAGTCAATCAGGAGACAGTCACCGCGGCCTCAGGCTCTGCCCAGCAAAGGGACTGGTCAGTCAGGATAAAATATTGCTTATGCAGCACACGGAGGTTTCTCAATAAGGCGCTATATCAAATGCAAGGATTATTATTATTATTAATAAAGGAGGGAGGAATGGTGTGAGGTGGAAGAACTTGATCAGATGATACATTTGAAGGCCAAGTCGTGGGACCAACAAAAGGCCGAGATTCGGCACAGGCTCCATAATTTGAGCAACCGGAGAGGTTGATACAGCCAGCACCTGAGATGAGGAGATGTCGATAGGAACCTAGAGCCTCCATTTTGGTTGAATTTGAGTTGGAGAAAGTTACAGCTTAGCCGGATCACCCACGTTTTTTCATCGCAACCAATGCAATCAACATTCAGGTGATGGATAAACTATAGGTTTTCTAGTCCAATTGTTATGAGGTTGAGTCAAAGCAACAAGAGGTATGGGAAGCCAGGACACCAAACAAGCATCTCAAAACAACAAAAGTTGTCAACGTGAAATTTAATGTCATAAATAATTACAGATCGAATCGCAATAACAATTTTCATTTATATAGTGCTCCTCACGGAGGGTAGCATCCCAGAGCGCTTGACTGTGGCAGAGCCCAGGCCACACTCATCTACTCTACCAACTCCTGTCTACTTCTTTCTCTTCCCCACACCCCCATACCTACCTTACCATCAGTGGGCAAGCCTTCAGCCATTTTGCCCCTGACCTCTGATACGCTCTCCCTAAATCACCCCATCTTGCCCCTTCCATTTTCAAATCCCACCTAAAAATCTACCTCCTTGACTGTGCCTTCGGTCACTAGCTCAGGCTCCCACTCAGCCTCTATATAGCACCTTGAGATATTCTACCAATGTGAAAGGTAATCAGGATCTCATTCCTAATTTCCGTAAACTGGAAGTTGAGGTGAGCAAAGCTTGAGTAGAGCAGACAATAAGATAAAGTGATAATTGTTTAGCAATTGTTCAACACTGAGGGAATCTTGCTCCAGAGCCATTAAACAGGGGATAGGGGGGAGTGGGATACCTTAGTTCCATTTGATATTGCTCAGTTTTCATTCATTAACCCCATTAAGATTTTATATCCTGCATGAAGGGCACTACGTAAATGCAAGGTGTTGTATTGGAAGTATAGGCCATAGCTCTGAACAGAGTAGTATTTGATAAAAATCTGGTGTAATAATAATAATATTCCTTATACCACCTTATCACATTGTTGAGTCATCTCAAAGCGCTTCACAGAATATAATAAAATTTGTCTTTATATTTTGTGGGCGAATATAGAGGTGTAATGCCTCATTTGTACTGCTGGAATCACACATTTAGTGTTGATTATGCACAAAAAGGCACAATATAAACGAGGCAACATATAGTTTACTTCAGCTGATGTAAACCCTCTCAATCATACCTGGAGTCCATAAAGCTGCCATCTAAAGGAGTTATCTGGCTAGACCACACTAAGACTTACCACTCTGCCTTCGCCAAATCATTCTTTTACTCCAAGATAATCTTGGAGGCCAAGGACAATCCCAGGCTCCTCTTCACCATTAACCACCTTCTCCATCCACCTTCCCACGCCTCGCCCATCCTCTCCTCCAACTCCAACTGCGAGGAGATGTTGGACTTCCTCGAATCCGAAATCAAGGGGATTCGTTCGGCTACCTCTCCTCCATCCACCACTATCCTCTCGTCATCGCCCCCGAACGCCCCGGCCCCCACTCATCACTCCCTATACACCTTCGACCCTGACTCCTCTGCTTCCATCACCTCCATCATTTCAAAAATGAAGACCACCACCTGCTCCCTTGACCTCGGCATCCTGTTTGACTCTCAACTGTCCTTCATACACCACATCCATGTCATGACCCGCTCCGCAACATCGCTCAGTTCCACCACTGTCTCACACCGCATGCCGCCAAGACCCTCATACACGCATTCATAACATCCAGGCTCGACTACTCAATCTCCTTGCTTGTCGGCCTCCCCAACTCCTCTTTCCTGTCAGCCTCCCCAACTCCTCCTCAATCTGTCTGCTCACTCCGCTCAGTAGGCTCTGGCCTGCACCAGGTCTCCCGCCTGATCAGACCTACCATTGGCGACCGGGCTTTCAGCCTCTCTGCCCCCACTCTTTGGAACTCCATCCCACAATCCCTTCACCTTGCTCCCTCTCTTGCCTCCTACAAGGCACGACTCAAGACCTTCATTTTTGACCATGCCTTCAGTTGCCCTCCTACGTCCTCTGCCCTCCATCATCCCAACCCTGCCCCCCACGCTCAGGCCCTAATCCCTGATTGTTCAGCACCTTGACATGTCCTCCCGTCATGAAATGCGTGTTACAAATGTATTTTGTTGTTGTTGCACAGGCTGCAGATCATCCAGAACTCTGCAGCCCATGTCCTCTCCCGCACCAGGTTCCTTGACCCTATCAACCTCATTGGTAGGCGAAACATGGCAGTTACGCACAGCAATGTCACACTAACAGCCATGGAGTGAGTGACCAATTTTATTTGAGGAACTGCAGTATAGGTCAGGGCTCTATTCTAGTTCCACTCCTTCCACTCTTATCTTTATGCCCCCCACCACTGCCGTTCAATTTCCATTATGCCCAAGTGTCACCCAACTCTACCTTTGCTTATAACTCTATTTCTACCCTCGTGGGCTGTTACTGTTTTGACCAATTGGAGTGGGCTGTGGGGAGTATGAAGGCGGGCTGATACGTAGTGTGGGGGCGGGAAAGCTGGTTGCTGCGGTGTGGATTTTGGGCTGTGGGGCAGTATAATGTGGGTTAGGGGCTTTGGAGTAGTGCATAGTATAGTGTAGGTTAGAGACTATAGTATAGTGTGTAGTGTATCATGGGTTGGGGCAATAGTGTACCATTTAGTGGGTAGGAGGCTACGGTGCAGAGTCCTGTGGTATCGAGCAGTGTTGTATATAATCGGTTCATGGCTATAGTGTAGTGCAGTGAGGTATTGTGCAGTATAATATAACACACTGTGGGGTGGAGGATATGGTGTATGGTGTGGTATAACACATGATGGGGTGGAGGCTATGGCGTACAGGGTAGTATAACACACTGTGGGGTGGAAGATATGGTGTATGGTGTGGTATAACACACTGTGGGGTGGAGGCTATGGTGTATGGTGTGGTATAACACATGATGGGGTGGAGGCTATGGTGTACAGTGTAGTATAACACACTGTGGGGTGGAGGATATAGTGTATGGTGTGGTATAACACACTGTGGGGTGGAGGCTATGGTGTATGGTGTGGTATAACACATGATGGGGTGGAGGCTATGGTGTACAGTGTAGTATAACACACTGTGGGGTGGAGGATATAGTGTATGGTGTGGTATAACACACTGTGGGGTGGAGGCTATGGTGTGGTATAATACACTGTGGGGTTGAGGGTATGGTGTTTGGTGTATGGTATGATACACTGTAGGGTGAAGGCTATGGTGTATGCTGTGGTACAACACACTGTGAGATGAAGACTATAGTGTATGGGTGTGGTATAATACACTGTGGGGTGGAGGCTATGGTGTAAGGTGTGCTATGATACACTGGGGTGGAGGCTATGGTGTGCGATGTGATACACTGTGGGGTGGAGGCTATGGTGTATGGTGTGCTATAACACATTGTGTGGTGGAGGCTATGGTGTGTGATGTGATACACTGGGGGTTGGGGGCTATGGTGTGTGATGTGATACACTGTGGGGTGGGGGCTATGGTGTGTGATGTGATACACTGTGGGGTGGGGGCTGATGCCGTCACCCTGATCGCTCGCTCTCGGTCTCTGTGTGCGCATTTTGGCTGCCGCCCCGACCCGAGCCTCCCCCTCCACTCGAAATGTCTCTCCTCCCACTCCCCTCTATCCGCTACCATCCTCTGTCCTTCTCTCCTACCGCCCTCCCCACTTTCTCTCTCTCCTCTCGACCCCACCACTTCCCTCTGCTCCAGCCTGGGCATCCTCTGCTGGGCCCATCGTGGCTCCCAGCACTGGCTGTCCCACAGCAGCAACCCCACGAGTCCCATCACTCACTCCCTCCTCACAAATCGCCTCCTTAAGGCAAACTTCCCCCTCCCTCATACATACCCTCCCCAACTCTCCACTCACACCACTCTCCACAACCATCTCTCCTGTACACCCCAAAATCCTCTCCGCAACACTCTCTCCTCCCTCCCCCCCGCTCCAGCAAACCCCCCGCATTTCCCTCCAAAATGTCCGTTCCTTCTCAAACAAAGCCCTCACCATCCACGACCTCATTCTGGATGAGCACCTCGACATTCTTGGGCTCACCGAAACCTGGCTCTCCCCCAATGACCCCGTCCCCCTAGTGGAAGCCTCCCCTCCAGGTTACACCTTCCACCACACCCCCCGTCCAAACCAACTTGGTGGCGGGGTGGCCTTCATTTCCAAAGCCTCCCTTGGTCTCACCCCCTACTCCTCTGGCTGCTTCCCCTCCTTCGAGCACCTCACCCTCTTCCACCCCTCTCTCCCATTGAAAATCATCCTTGTCTACCGCCCCCCTAAGCCCCCCGGCTCCTTCCACACAGACATCTCTACTCTCCTCTCTTCGCTGTCCCTCTGCTCCGAGCACCTGCTCATAATGGGCAATTTCAACCTCCACCTAAACTCCCCCTGCACCACCTCTGCCGACTTCACTGCCCTTCTCTCCTCCCTAAACCTCACCCTTATATAAACTCACTGACCCACAACAGTGGTCAGGCCCTTGACCTCGTTATCACCCACAGCCTTGACATTTCCAACCTCAGTATAGTGGACAAGGCCATCTCGGACCACTTCCTCATCTCCTTCTCCTCTCACATCGCTCTCTCCTCCACCAAGCCCTCAACCATTCTCTACCGCCCTTGGAAGAGGCTACCCCCTGAGACCCTCACAAAGGGCCTAACATCATCAAACATCCTATCCCTCTGGCCTTCCACCCGCAGAGACCCTGAAGCAGCCGTCCAGCTGCTCCATGATCGCCTCTCCTTCACCTTTAACTCCCTCGTCTCCCTAAAATCCAGGACCATCTCCAAACCCACCCGATCCCCCTGGAACAACAACCATCTCTGCCGCCAAAAAACCCAAAACCGGCTGCTCGAGCACAGATGGCGGAAAACTGGCCATCTCCACAGCTACCGTCATTCTGTAACACACGCAAAAACAGCCTTCTACTCCAACATCATCTTGGAGGCTAACCACAACCCTAAAATCTTTTTTCCACCACCCACTACCTCCTCTGTGCCCCCCTCAGGCCTCCTCAATCTTCATATCAAATGCCAAGTGCGAGGAGGTCATGGACATCTTTTCATCTAAAATACATAACATCCACCAGGCAGCCTCATCCACCTGCCTCTTGTCACCCACCACCACACCCTCTATGCCCCTCTCACCCTCCACCCCACACGATAGCCTCCCCACAACACCAAAGCCTCCACCCAACACCATAGCCTCCCCACAACACCATAGCCTCCACTCCACACCAGAGCCTCCACCCCAAAGTGTATCAACAACAACTCAGATTTATATAGTGTATGGTGTGGAGTGGAGAGTATGGTGTGGGGTGGAGGCTATGGTGTATGGTGTGGGGTGGAGGGGATGGTGTGAGGTGGAGGGGATGGTGTGGAGTCTATGGTGTATGGTGTGGGGTGGAGGCTATGGTGTATGCTATGGTATATGGGGTGGAGGGTGTGGTGGTGTATGGTGGGGGCTGTGGTGTATGGGATGGTGTGTGGGGTGGGTGGTGTATGGGGTGGTGTATGGGGTGAGTGTGGGTGGTGTATGGGGTGGGGTGTGGGGTGGTGTATGGGGTGGGGTGTGTGGGGGGTGGGTGGTGTATGGTGTGGGGTGGAGGCTATGGTGTATGGTGTGGGGTGGAGGGTATGGTGTATGCTATGGTATATGGGGTGGAGGGTGTGGTGGTGTATGGTGGGGGCTGTGGTGTATGGGATGGTGTGTGGGGTGGGTGGTGTATGGGGTGGTGTATGGGGTGAGTGTGGGTGGTGTATGGGGTGGGGTGTGGGGTGGTGTATGGGGTGGGGTGTGTGGGGGGTGGGTGGTGTATGGGGTGGGTGGGGTGTGTGGGCTGTGGTGTATGGGGTGGTGTGGGGTGTATGGGGTGGGTGGTGTATGGGGTGTGTGGGGTGTATGGGGTGGGGGGTGTATGGGGTGGGGGCTGTGTTGTATGGGATGGTGTATGGGGTGGTGTATGGGGTGGGGGCTGTGGTGTGGGTATTGTGTGGGGTGTGGGTGTTGTGTGTGGGGTGTGGGTGGTGTATAGGGTGTATGATGATGACGATGATGACAGACGCGGGGTTTGCGGTGGGGTGTGGGTGGTGTATGGGGTGTATGATGATGATGACACACAGGGGGGGGTTTGGGGTGTGTGGGGTGGATGGTGTATGGGGTGTATGGGGTGTACGATGATGATGATGACACACAGGGGGTTTGGGGTGGGTGGTGTATGGGGTGTATGATGATGATGATGATGACACACGGGGGGTTTGGGGTGTGTGGGTGTTGTATGGGGTGGATGATGATAATGACACATGGGGGGGGGTTGGGGTGTATGGAGTGTATGATGATGATGACACATGGGGGGGGGTTTGGGGTGTGGTGTGGGTGGTGTATGGGGTGTATGATGATGATGATGATGATGACACACGGGGGGGTTTGGGGTGTATGATGATGATGGTGACACACAGGGGGGGTTTGGGGTGTA